TCGGACAGCTTATAGATGGATTTTTTGGTGGATTCGCGGCATTAACGGCCGTGATGTATGCATATGGTGTTGATTGTACAGCCCCAGAGCGAAGGTAATATATCTATCTATCTATATATATATATATATATATATTTATTTATTTATTTATTTCTATGCTATCTAATAAACTATCTCAACCTTTAGGAGAGTCGTATTCGGACTGATGCAGGGCTCGTTATTCTTAGGAATCGCTATAGGACCTATTATTGGTGGAAAAATAGTCGAGTACACTAATGACCTCCTTTCTACATTCTATGTCTCACTTACAATATCTATCATGATGTTCCTATTTGTCCTTTTTATCCTTCCCGAATCACTTTCTAAAGAGAGGCAACTAGAGAATCAGAAACGTCAACTAGATCAGGAACAAAAAAATGGAGGATCTACCAGATTTAAGAAAATTTTCAATATATTTACACCATTATCGATTTTCTTAACAGACTTTTCACAAAATAATGAAAGGTTTCAAACTACTAGGAATAAAGATAGGATTCCAGCAATAAATGCGACGAGATATTCATTATTATCAACCGCTGGCATAAGTTTAATGTGTTCATTTGCATTATCTGGTATTCAATCTATATTTTTACTTTATATAAGATATAAATTCGAATTGCCATTAGTCGAACAAGGCTATTTATTGAGTGCGATGTTCTTCACAAGAGTTATTACTTTAATGTTTTTATTCCCAATATTTATTAAGATGTTTAAAAAGAGACATTACAATTACAAGGAAAATCTAAGAAGGCAGGAAGATGTTGATGTAGTGGTTGAGAATGAAATAATAATTCAAAATGAGAAAAGAATGAATAGAGAATTGGTATTTGATATCTGGGCTGTTAGGATCGGACTTGCTATTGATGTGGTTGCCTATAGTTTGTATGCGATAGCAACTAATGGTGTATTACTTTTTGCAGGTAATAAGATAATATTTTAAATTTTTTATAACGGTCTTCTAATAACGATAATAATATTTTTCTCATAAACTTCAGGAGCTTGCTTGGGTGCTGTGAGCGTAGTAGTAGTTCCTGCCTTAAAATCTATCCAAACAAATTTGATTCCTCCATCACAAACGGGTCAATTACTAGGTGCATTTAGTGTATTGGACTCTATGACGAATATAGTTGCGCCAACAATTTATAATACTATTTATAGCATTTTGGTTATGGAGGATATGCCGCATTTGATTTGGTATAGTATTGCCGGAATATTTGCAATCGGATGTTTATTGTCTTTTGGAATTAAGCCAAGAAAAAGTCAAGATAAAACTGTTGAAACGGATAATGTTGAAATTATAAATTTGTAATTACATTAGGGTACATTGTATAAACATTCATTATAAAAATAAATAAAACTATGTATACATAACATAGATTATTATGACTGTGCTAAATATATCGATACTGTATACGTAGAAGTTACGTTAACTCCGATGTCCGGATTAGTGCACCGACTAAAAGGGTCAAGTTCGGGTTAGCTATAAATCCGACCTAACCCTACTCGATCGGCGCATTATATTACAAATATTTAACATTAATATATAATTAATATTATATATTATAATATATAAATAAGTATATTTAAGCTTCAAGAAAAACACGTTTAATTTTTTTATATTTATACAAATATAGAAATATAATTAAAAGCAATAAAACTACCGTAAAAGTCTGACTTGGCGTGCGTGTACTCCCATCAGTTTTAAGAGTTGTACGATATATGCTATATGCATCATGTTAGGTAGTGTATCCCCTCTACACAAGTACCCTGGGTACGAGTTAGGGATATACCCGGGTACACAAGTCAAGCTTTTACGGTACTGTCTTGCTTTAAAATACAAAATTACAACTTAAATAAAACTGTTTAGATACTTGCTTTAATAAATTATACGTATGTAGTGATGGGACCTCTTGAATTATTATTAATAATTAATTATTATTAACAATTATTAATATGCAGTTATTAATGCATTACACGTAAACTGCTTGCAATTATCGAATTTTTAAAAAACATTAATAATATTAATAACTAATTTTTAATTATTTTATTATTAACTAAAAATTCAGATAATTATATGATTTTTTAAAGTCTTTCCTTCTCTACGAACTTGTAATTATTGAGAATCTATGTTTTCAAACTTGTAATTATTGAGAATCTATGTTTTCAAACTTGTAATTATTGAGAATCTATGTTTTCAAACTTGTTGATGGTGAAATCGGAAAGTATTTGTATTTTGAATTGCAAGTTTTCTATAAGTGCAAATAAATTTTTTCAACGCCATCTTTATGAATTTTTTATTGTATACTTATTGACTTTTATTAACATTTCAATATTAAAACATTTAAGTAGTGTTTCGCAAAATAGATTCGAAATTCGGATTCGATTCGGATTCGATTCAACGAATCCATTTTGAATCTCATAATTTACGAATCCTGCGAATCTGAATTCGATCGGATAATATTCGATTCGGAACCGTTTTATTACTAAAATCCACCAATGCTAAGCTATGTCTGGTTTCTTGTGATCTTTTTCCATTTGCGTAATATGGTTTGCCTAATAATTATACTCAAGATGACATGAATGCGTTTATTTTTTATTTATTTATTTTTTTGAATTTTTTTTTTTGAAAATCACGTGATATACAGTATTACCAAGTACGTCCGAGTGACCCTAATTGTCACGTAATGTTATTTTTAACATATCGAACATCGAATGCTGCCGAATGATAATTCGAGTGCCCGGTTAAGGCTTTATATGTACGTATGTATACGTAATTGGAGGCTCGATTGTCGCAAAGCCGATCGATTATGATCACATGATAAACAATAACATTACGTTATTTGTTTACCAGAATTAAACAGACTAGCCTAAACTATGCCCTCAACATAACATACTTGTTAACTGTTATAGGCAGCAGCAAGTGAAAATTTAGATCAGATATATTTAGTAGCCGCATAAATTACTGATTATCATAAATTATTGATTATCTGGCATGCGAAAAAAACAAAAAAAAGTCTAAAACTAACAATGGAATGGAAAATTATAAGTGATACACACAATGGCGAATTCAGGAGCTAGAAACGTATCGGTATTAAACAATCCATTTTATGAACTTCCTTTTTAGCTATTACGGGTAAAATATTTAAATGATGACTAAGATTTTTACTAAAACGCACCTGTGTTTTACAGCTATGAATGCACTATCTCATAAACTAGTTAATTCAACTGCATCAGGGCGTAGGATCGATTTTCCGTTCACGTGACTTCCGACCTTAGATCGAAGTCGGGATTGTGCACATACTTTTAATTTTTTCATTAAATCAACTTATTAAAACTATCAATTTAATGTCTATGCGTGTAATTATTTTATACTTGTGATGTTAAAAATAATAAAACCCACGTTAAATTCTAGTAAAACCTACTTTTTCATTACAGTACTAACGCGAATTTCACTCTAACATGATCTGCATGGTAGGTTTCATATTGTATAATTTTCTAGCAATTCTATAATTTTTTAAAACTTATTGTATTGAAACGAACCAAAGAATTTAAATTAAAGTTTTCTTTTTTTTTTAACCTTAATAGTTGGACGCCATGATATGATTTAAATTAAATTAAATTAATCAGCAGTGTTACAATAATCTACTAAATTTACTAAATAAAGAACTAAAAAAAACTTCACACAATATTTAAATTATTTTTAAACAAGAAAAAGATGTTTTTAAATAATTAAGTTAATCAAATGTGATTTGAAAAATTACACAAAAATCAATATGCGAATAAAGCTCTGTTCCATGCAAATTTTAATAAGAATAAATTTCTACATCATGTCTTTTTTACTATATATCTATATAGTAAAATTAGATGAATCATTAAAACATTACCTTGAGCGTCAGGTTAAAATCTAAAAAACCACATAAATTTTCAGTTTAATTATTACAATACACAAACATTTAAATCAAAAATGTATCATTACTGTTATTCGTATATTTGAATTGATTTTTTGGATATAAAAACTTCAAAAAATGTCAATTCATATCAAA